AAGGAAAATAATTTCTAATCATTGGCAGACAAGTGTCCCATATTATACATAATCAAGTCAACATCTCAAGACAATCAGATGCCCAACTTGATCGACTCGACACACCGACATCTTGCGAAGACGACTCGAAAGACGTCACATGTCGATGACCCGAAAGGCATCACATGTCGATGACCCAAAAGGTGTTACGTGTCGTCCCCTAGCTGAGTCAACTGCTTAATCACTCCACTCGACCGACTCATCGACCGACACCTTGCGAGAGCGACTCAAAAGGCAGTACTTCTCAACCATCCGATGAGTAGAAAGGCGACGAAATGTATCGAGCCCCCTCTTGTGCACTAATGACCAATCACCTCACAATAAATGATATTAAATGTATTATGGACGTCATCATTCCTCTGCCCCCCATAATATTTATGACATATCGGACCACGTCAGCACAGCACACCCCCTATCACTTCACATTACAAAGTGATCTCTCATCCACTCGTCGGCTGACACCTGTAAAGCTGAGGCTAACGTGACCGTCATCCCATACTCGGTCGAAATTACCCTTCTACCCTCCTACCCTTATTATAAAAAGAGGTACTATATTCAATTACAGGGTAAGCTTTGACTACTACTCTCTAAGGTTAAGAACTACTGTAGTTCCTTTTACTTCTCCTCTCAAGCAGATCACTGACTAGATCATCGGAGGAACAACTGGGGAATCAGACCCCGCTCTCTTATGATTTGTTACTTTGTGCAGGGAAGAACAACTTGCTTAAGAATCAGACATTCGGAGACTTAGAGGACCTCCTTCTACTCAATCAATCACTTATTTGACTGTGTAATTTCATACATCAACAATGATAATCCCTAGATTTCATCTATGTTGTTCGCAAGTTTTGAGGGTGTTTTTTTATAATTTAAACTTTTGAGGGTGTTTTATTATTTTTGAAATATTAAAGATGTTAATTATAAATTTTAAATTCTTTAGAGGATACTGTTAATTTCTAAATTTCATGTTTGTTATTTTAAGTTTTGATATATGATGGTGTTTTGTGTAATTTTGAATATTTGATAGCATTTTTGTAGAATTTTTGAAACTTTCTAGTTTTTTTTGTTATTGTTGTAATATTTTATGTAACTTATTAATTTTATTTTTTAATTATTGAGCTATAGATAATTCATGTGGGATTAAGATAGGTATAATTATGATTATGATAGATTAAGATTTAAATAAAATATTTAAAAAATGAAGGGTAATATTGACTAATGAAATATTTTCCCGAACTCGTGTTTTTAAAGGAAGTATGATAAACTTTTGAGGGTGTTTTTATAATTTTTAAAATGTTGAGGAAGTTAATTATAAATTTAAAATTCTTTAGAGGATATTGTTAATTTCCAAATTTCATGTTTCTTATTTTAAGTTTTGATATGTGATGATGTTTTGTGTAATTTTGAATATTTGAGAGTATTTTGTGTAATTTTTAAAAAAAAATTGGGTTTTTTTAATTATTTTTGTAATATTTTATGTAACTTATTAATCTTTTTTTAATTATTGAGCTATACGTAATTCACGTAAGATTAAGATAAGATATAATTATGATTATGATAGATTAAGATTTAAATAAATTATTTTAAAAAGTGAAGGGTAATATTGACCAATGAAAGATTTTTCCGAACTCGTATTTTTAAAGGATACTAGATTTTATGCACGTGGTTAAAGATCATGATTAAATATTTTTAATATATTTGATTACTAAAATTTGTTCATCAATTCCACTTTGATCGTTTTTGCTCACTTATGCCTTTAAATTTTAGCATTATGATTATTTATTCTATTTGATGTTTGTTTGAATGAGCTACACCAAATTTTTATGTTGATAATTAAATTGACAGGAAACAAATTCAATCTAAAGCCAATTTGAATTTTCACGTGATTTGGACCAACATGAAACCAAGCTTGAAAGTATAATGTTGTAAAAGTGAAAAACAATTTTAAAAAAAGTAGTGTTATAAAAAAAGATGAATAATTAAAGCTAAAAATCCAAGATGATTAACTAAAAGTGGGCTAAAATAAAACTAAAGAGAATATGAAGTTTGTTGCTAATTAATTGATAGACTATAGAAAAAATCATTGACTAAACATTAATGCTAACTCTAGTATATTTTATATGATAAAAGCATCCACATAACCATATAAAAATATTTAAAAGAGTTTATGAAAATCTTTTCTAAAGATTCCTAGTTTTACTCAAAAAATTAAGCTATTCTATAAAATATTCAAAAAATAAATCTTTTATTCTTTCTATTTTATTTTTTAATTGAGTTAAGATCAATCCTTCTTCACCTTTATCTTTTTCCTGAGCAATTCTAGAGTTGTATCTTCATCATCTATATTGATTGTGACATCAGGCTGGAGCTGGATTTCTTGTGTAATTATTTTTTCCTAAGCTCGTTCATGTTTTGTCTTCTCGTCTTACTTCACAAAGAAGTTGAATGCATTTTTGATGTTCAACAAAAATTCTAGAAATACAGACTTTGATTATTTTTGTGTTTCAATGAGACTAAATGTTAATTTATTTTTTTTAAAAAGGTTAGGAGTTAACTCTTTTTTCTCTGCAATGAAATCTTCTGATGTGCATCTAATAAGAGTTTTTGTCACGTTAAATAATGTTACTTTTACTCTATCTGTGTCATTTTCCACAATGATCTAAACTAAAAACCTTTATTTTTCATTATCAAATTAGCTTAGATTATAATGTTAATATTTTATCTTGATATGTTTATTTCATGAAGAAAGGATATTACTCAACATTGGTGCTACTTTATTAGTAATTTTGTGATATTTATCATTTGGACATTCTTATTAACATCTCTATCCAATCTTCTTATTATAGCATTTGCAAGCTAGAACCACGACTCAACTTTATTGTAAATAGTAGTTATCATTACATTATAGGTCCAATAGCGTGTTCGGATATTGGTAGAGTATTTTTAAGTTTAATTGTGTAAATTTTAGAGTAGGTCTTATAAGATCATACATTTTTGATATTGTGATTATTGTATATATCAATAGTTTAAATTTGTTATTGTATTTGTAAAGAGCCTTGATGGGTATGCTTCTATATTAGCATCTTGTTCTTAAATAAGCCACGCGTATGAGCTTTAAAGTGTAATATTTTTTTCTTTATTATGCTATATGTATGTTTGTTTGGTTTACTTACCATTCTTTTATTTTTTTTCAATAAGTTATATCTTTGTGTTGGTATATATTGTTAACACAATTTACGATAACATGCATATTTTCCTTACAAATTTGAGACAGATATAACGTGAATTTTATGCTTAATGATCTTTAATCAAAAATTTAGTAGTAAAATATGTTACATTTATATTTAAAGATCTTGAAATCTAACAATGTTATTATGTGCTTATCTTTAATCGTGTTTTTAAAAACTAATCCTTTACTAGTAGTCATATCCCCAAATAAATTTACTTGCAGAGTCATACCACATATAAGAAAAAGAAAATATATCAAATTTATTTTTTTTATTTACGCTGTTGTAACTAATTATCATGTATATTCCTTTTGTCCATTGTAGTGATTTCTCTCATCTTATCTAGCTTATTACATCTCGCAACATAGTTGATCAATGACTTCACTTTAGTTACTATTGCAAGATTATTTATATGTAATTTTATATTAAGTTTATGATTCATTTAGTATTTTAAGAGAAAGTATGAAAATTTATAAATACAAACTAATTTTTCTTGCATCTTTCACGATGAATGCTTTTTTAATTGGGACAAAATTGTTCACTTTGTTCTTTAAGGGGGAACACATCGATGTTCTTTGCTAGATATACCTTTTGTCAATGTCAGTTCAAGTGATTCATGAATGTTTTCATATTTTGGGTTTATTTACTTCACTTCTCTATTTGAAATAAAAACTTCAAGTGATTCATGAATGTTTTCATATTTTGGGTTTATTTACTTCACTTCTCTATTTGAAATAAAAACGGCTTGATTTTTTTAAAGGATATCTTTGAACTTTCTGATGGCTTTTTCATGCAAAATTCCTTGTATTTTTTACACTATAAATATTATTAACATTAGAGATAAATTTTATACATTATAATCAATTAATGCTAACTTATTATATTATAGTCTTTTATTATTTTTATTCAATTTAGTCTTCTATCAATTAATGTTATTACTAAAATTATATATAGTTCCTTAAATTTATACAGTAACATTAATATTTAATCTGTCATATATTATTTAAATTTTTATTCCTTAACTGGGTAGTTTTAATCTATCGTAATTTTTATTTTTTTACCAGCGTCAACTTAGACTATTTTTAGATGCTGAAAATGGATGATAAACTTTAAATTGAAACTTAAATTTATATATCTTAATGAAATGATATCAAACATTTACTCTTTTCTTTGCCAAATTTTAGCCTATTGTGATTTTAAACTTCTAAGGGTGTGTTTTGTAATTTTTTAACTTCAAGTTTATTGTTTTAAAAAATTTTAAATTTTATGCTGGGTGTTTGTAATTTTTATGTTTTATGAGTTGGTGGTAAGTTTTTAAATGTTAATATGTTTCTTTCAACTCTGAAATTTTGAGCGTGTTTTTTTACAATTACTAAAACTTTGAGTTATTTTTTGATAAATTCAAAATTTAGAGAAGTTTTTTGATATGATTTCTTATTTTTCAAAATTGAAGGGGACGCTGAAAAGTAGGGAAGTGAGATGTGACCCCCACACTTCTATGATGGAAAATGGTACAGGCACACCATCAACCACACCTTGGGACACGCTCTCCTCTCTCAGCTACAGTGCACGGGGCCCACATGAAATTTTTTAAAAATTTCATGTGGGTCCTGTGTACTGTAGATGAGAGAGGAGTGTGTCCCAAGATGTGGTTGGTGGTGTGTCTGTAGTGCCACACTTCTATGATATTCCCCTCTTAAAAAAAAAAATCCTTAAAACGGATGCAACCAAAAAGACATCTTAAACCCTCAGGAACTCTCCCCTCGCGTCTCTCTCTGCTCTCTATTTCATGACGTTCGTTTGAGAAGCTTGGCTGGTTAGATGGTGATGTAGAACTTCTCGAATTTGACATCCCTTCCTCAGCATAGAAAGCTGCTATTCGTCAGGAATGCAACCGTAGAGAACTGGAAGGTGAAATAAATTCATGTTTGGAAACTCTGGGTGATACGCATGCACAATCGAATGGGACCACAAGGAGTAATTTTTAGCGAAAAATTAGACCTTAGATCCAGTTGCTAGTTACGGTTTTCTTTTCAGGCGTAGGCTTCGGCGGGGAATTTGAGTGGGAAATGGCCCAGAAAATTATTCAAAACAGGATGGTGAAATGCCATTCCTCCCCAGCAGCATCAAATGTATCGCGGTTCCTCTGTCACACCCCTGATCAAACAACTGCCCTCAACAACCACAACGAACTCAACAACTGCATTCCTGATGACAATGGTGACAACAGCGATGAGAGCAGCACGAAGGAGAAGCCGAGGAGGAGGAGAAAAAGGCGACCCGACGACGCCGAGGTCGTGAAATGGAACATCAGCATATCCAACCACATGCGCCACGGCCGATGCGACTTCGCGCGCCGACATCTCCAACGGCCAGTTCCCCCTCGCCCTCCGCATCTTCAGCGCCATGCCTGACCGCGACACCGTCTCCTACAACACCATGATCCAGGGCTGTGTCCGCAACCGTAATCTCAGTGCCGCACGTCAACTCTTCGATGAAATGCCCCATAGAGACACTGTTTCTTGGAATACGCTGATATCTGCATACGCTGAGTGTGGTCGTGTCGAATTGGCCCGTCAGACCTTTGATGCCACGCCCAACAAGAACTCGATTTCTTGGAACGGGCTCCTTGCAGCTTATGTCCAGAACGGCCGGCTTGATGATGCAAGGAAGCTGTTTGACTCGAATCCTCACTGGGAGGCTGTTTCGTGGAACGCAATGATTGCCGGATATGTCCGGAGGAAAAGACTGGTTGATGCACAGTTGCTCTTCGATCGGATGCCCCGAAGAGACATAATTTCTTGGAATACCATGATTTCCGGTTACGCTCAAAATGGAGATATAGCGGAGGCGAGGCAGCTCTTTGAGATATCCCCCAATAAGGATGTCTTCACTTGGACGGCCATGGTTTCTGGGTACGCACAGAACGGGATGATGGAAGAAGCGAGGAGGGTTTTCAACGAAATGCCCGACAGGAATTCCGTTTCATGGAATGCTATGATTGGAGCCTATATGCAGTGCGGAAATGTAGGTGAGGCGAGACAGTTGTTTGAAGCGATGCGATGCAGGAACATCAGCTCATGGAACACTATGGTCACGGGCTATGCTCAGGCTGGGATGATCGAGGATGCACGTCGAGTTTTCGACGAGATGCCTCAACGAGATTCGGTCTCTTGGGCGGCGATGATAGCTGGATATTCTCAGAGTGGATTCAGTGAAGAGGCGTTACGATTGTTTTTAGAAATGGGGAGAAACGGAGAAAGAGTGAATAGGTCATCATTTACTTGTGCTTTAAGCACTTGTGGGGATAATGCTATGTTAGAGTGCGGAAAACAGTTGCATGGCAGGCTAGTGAAGGCTGGCTATGGGTTGGGTTGCTTCGTGGGCAATGCACTGATTGCAATGTATTTTAAGTGCGGGAGCATAGATGAGGCATCCATGGCATTCAAGGAGATGAAGGAGAAGGATGTTGTGTCATGGAACACTATGATTGCTGGCTACGCTAGGCATGGGTTTGGCAACGAGGCACTCCAAGTTTTTGATCAGATGAGAACAAAGGGCATAAAACCCGATGATGTCACCATGGTAAGGAGTTTATTCTGTTGCACAAGGCTTGCTAGATTTAATTTATTTTTGGTATATAGTACACAAGGGCCAAGGGGTAGTCATACATTGATGAGAAGAATTCAGGATGCAATGGTGTCATTTCTTAATAGGATTTCGCAAAGGCGGATATTATTGTTATTTTCAAAGCAGATTTTTAGATAGAGGCAACCTTAGAACATTTTGAATGTTATCTTAATCATGTAACCTATTGCACAATTGTTAGGCACAGGACACAGATATGGCTAGTTGATACACTGAATCTTTGCATGAACCTAGGATTTTCATGAAGACAGTATTGAAATGCACATACACACACAGGCATATACGTATACTGTGCTTGCAAAAATTATTATGAAACATGTGCAATTGCGAGATTCATAATAACAACTGTATTAAATTTTTTGATATAGATCTAGATCCCTGTAGCATATGAACCTGCAGCAACACAAAGCTTTTGTGAAAGTTTTTTAGCTCCTTTTTGGTTTGCCACATGATAAATAATGCAAAATCAAGTCCCAACTCAACTTTGAAACTAACAATTTGCAGTCAACCTAGGCCTGCTCACTTATGTTCAGCTTGGGTAAGCTCAATGCACACTTACAGCTGCATATGTATTGATATACATACATATGTGATTTATATATCTTGCTTAGCTTTGTAATTTCCACATCTTCTGTAAGTTTTGTATTTTGTGTAAGGAATTTTGAAATTTGTGGGAATTTGGAATGTAAGTCTAACTATTTTTCTTTAAATTTAATAAGTCTTTCCTTTAATGTATAATCCGAAGTCAGTTATTTGAATAATTAAGTGAAGGTAATGTCTTACTAATGAATATCAATCTAAATCGAGCTTATAACAGAAAAGTAGCCAATTGGTTTGACTTCGATTGTGTATATTTTTTGAGCTTTAAGGTGTCCAGAACATTCTATAATTAAAATAAGTCAAACACTAGGTTGTCCACTAAGCTTTGTAATTATTCAAGTTAACTTGAGCAGGTCCTTCTGAATTCTTGCTGAATTTGGAATGAGTTTGGCTCACTAAAGCTTGACCTGTTTACAACCTAACCTTAAAGTTTTCTACCAAGAATTTCTGCTTGAGCCTAAGAGCAACTCACCCAACTCAACTTATATCCGAGTTGGATAAACTGTGTTAATGTAAACACCATATAGCCAAAACATAGAGATGCATGTATAGCATCTGAAGGATATACGAGATATCCTATAAAAAAGTAAAACCAAATGAAGTTTAATGATATAAAAATGCAACCAAACAACTTTTTTTGAAAAATCATTTTGTTGCATATTATGTTGCATGGACACAGATACGCTGATAGATATGGTGCACCAATATGTAGAAAATCCTGAAAATACATACGTACATGTGTCTGATAGGTCTTCACGATAAAATTGTTTGTTCTACATAAATACACCATTATTCTTCCTGAGCTTGGAGCATCTCTAAAAGTTGTCCTTTTCAAGTTCTTATAAATTTTGGTCATACCTTGAATAAGATAAGCACAAGCATCATTCATTTTCTAATACATCAATTGGATCATCTAGTCAATCACATACATTTCTTGCTTACTTTTTTTGCTTTCCGTTTATGTTTCCAGGTCGGAGTCCTATCAGCATGTGGGCATACTGGATTAGTTGATAAAGGCATTGCTTATTTCAACTCAATGCACAAGGAATTTGGCGTATCACCGAAGGCCGAACATTATACATGCATGATTGATCTTCTTGGTCGAGCAGGACGGTTGGCAGAGGCTCAGGCTCTTATAAGAGACATGCCCATGGAACCAGATGCAACCATGTGGGGTGCTTTACTCGGTGCAAGTAGAATCCACAAAAACAGCAAATTGGGAGAAAAAGCTGCTGAAAAGATTTTCGAGATGGAGCCAGAAAATTCCGGAATGTATGTTCTCCTATCAAACATGTACGCGTCTTCTAAAAAATGGACGGATGTCGGTAAGTTGAGAAAAATAATGCAGGAGAGAGGTGTAAAAAAGGTGCCAGGCTTTAGTTGGATAGAGGTGAAGAATGTCGTTCATTCCTTTTCTGTTGGGGATTTGGTTCATCCTGAGAAAGAAAAGATCTATGCTTTTCTAGAGGAATTAGATATGAAGATGAAGACGGCGGGTTATTTATCTGCTACAGAGATGATACTGCATGATGTGGAAGAGGAGGAGAAGGAGCACCTGCTTAAATATCACAGTGAAAAGCTTGCTGTTGCATTTGGGATTTTAAATGTGCCCCCAGGGAGGCCTCTTAGGGTGATCAAGAACCTCAGGGTCTGCCAAGACTGTCACAATGCTATCAAGTATATATCTGCAATTGAAGATAGGTTGATAATCCTAAGAGATTCGAACCGTTTTCACCATTTTAATGGCGGTTCGTGTTCTTGTGGAGATTATTGGTGAGATCAAAGATTGCGAATTAGACCTATCTCCATGGAAGCAGCAGCAGCATGTATTCATTCTATTGATCTGGCATTGTTCAAGGATGGCATGAAAGTGATCCTGACCTGAGGAATAATCCGGATGTTAGATCCTTGATTTACTTAACTGGCGATATCGCAAAAGAGGAAAGAATCCTGCATTAAGGAGGAAAGGGTGACAGGCGGGAACTGCTCTTAAATTCCTGTGCCAGAAGCCCAAATGAACTCAGGTCCAGTTGTGTTATTTTGTGTATCAGATACTCAGTATATTTTGTTGGGTTGAGAGAGCTTCCTACCTGTTTGACGTTATGTTCTGTAGCCAACAGCACATAGTGACGTGTTCAGTCGTTTCCAGCAGGGAGAAACATCAATAAAACTTCTTAAAGTTCTAAAAAAACTATTCTTTGCCTCTCATCCTTGATCTCATCCTTGATTGTCTGTGAGGGTTGGTGTGAGCTGCAGCCATGGTGAGGAGGACCAAAACATGTAAATCAACCCCAGAAGCCTCGAACATTGGGTAACCGAGCTAGGCGATATTGAGAATGGTTACATATTTCAGTAACCAAGTTAATGAAAACATGTATAAGCTTAAATTATCGGTGACTACATAGTTTCAGACTACAATTCAAGAAATCATGGAGAATTGAGAGCCAAAGGCCTCAGATCGATCAAGAGGAACTCAAGACACCAACAACTGTGGAAGCTCATCAATGATGTATAAGTTCCAAGGCTACATGATTTGGATTATCAGGTTGAGTATAAACATAGTAAGTTATCAATGACAGATGAAGAGCATGCACTGAATCACTAGCAGTATGAAATTCAATTATTTCCTATCTCAGTTGTATGAGAGGTGATTGGGTAGCGAAAGAAGAGTGAGAAATGGGAATATGGCGTATCTAATTCTCTTGCAGCTTTTACATGTTTCTATGTAGATTTGGAAAGATATATTAATGAAGTTTTATATTTCGCTTAGCTCTTCCGTACATTGTAAACAAGCGATAAATGTTTGTTTTATGGTATTTTAAAACTGCATTGGATTGTAAAATAAACGTAAGTGGTGGAGATGGAGTCTTTACTGGTTTCTTTTGCAAAGAACTTTTCAGGTAGCAGGGTAGTGAATTGAAGCATGGTATATTTGTATCTTACCTGAAACTAATAATCAAACTGAAAGTTGCTTAACTACTTAATTGGCTCAATTATTTCCTGGTATTTGTTTAATGCAACACGAACATCTGTTCTTCCTACGTCGATTGTTTGAGATACGATCCTTTTGTCAAGATAGGTGGCCCTCGAAGGAGGAAGAAATATGAATGTAGAGAACGAGGGAATTTGTGGGAGAATGAATATATCTGAAATTAAAACTATGCAAGCAAATCGATATCTCATCATCACACAAACACACGTCTGACGTATCCAAGTTACAGAGGAAGTTAGAGGACAGGAATTTTAACTCAAATACATCCCTAATTGATTCAAAGATATTATAGATGAGCCTGAATAGATCCTTCAACTGCCTTGATGAAGATACTGCATTAGAGAGGAAAGAATACCACGTCGTGGAGGGAAAGTGACGGGAATCGTCGTGTAAATTATTCTTTCCAGTTGCGGGCCTAGTCTGCGTTAGATACTCAATTGAATGCCCTCTTTTGATTCTATTACAGTAACACCCATAAAATTGCAAGAGAGGAAAACCAACCGAGCATATGATATGAAAGTCAGCCCAAGACTGAAAACAAAATTACCCAGACTAATATCTTTAATGGATCTAAAATCTACATTAAAATACATAATTTAAGTCGACTCAGATCTTATTGGTGAGGTCACAACCTGCATTGCCACACATAACACCCTGGCTATGACACCTCGGACATGCTAAACTGTTAGATTAAGTCTATTGGGTATTGGGTTAATGGGCTGTGACCCGTTAACCATACCCCTATTTGTATGACTATATATATATAGTATCTGAATAAATCAATTAAATTAGGGTTTTTGCTCTCTCAATTATCTCTTTCTACATGGTATCAGAGCTTGAAACCCTAGCCGCCACAAATCCTCATTCAAAAACCCTAGCCGCCGCCGCCTCTTCTCCTTGCCGCCGGCACTACCGCCACCACTAGCCGTGCCGCTACAGTGCCGCGCCGCTACAGTACCACGCCGCTACAGTACCGCGCCGCTACAGTACCACGCTGCTAAAGTACCGCGCCGTTTGTTTTGTTCCTTTTTTTCATGGCCTTGAATAGGTGATTCGAGGCCACACATGACCCGATCCGGTCATCTACTACTGCCTATTTTTTATCTGCTCTTAGTCTATGTTTAAAGAACACATCTTTACTACTGTCCTGATTATTTGACTACTACCTGCCTACCACTATTGTGCAACAATGTCGGAAACAGATCTCTCCTCCTCTTCTACATCTCCCTCTGCTGCTGTTGATCAGACTTCTGCGTCCAAGGTAGTCTTGGAGACTACAATAAAATTGAATGGTACAAACTATCTGCTCTGGGCTCAGGCTTTCCGCATCTTCATTGGCGCTCAGAGCAAACTTCCACATCTTCTGGCCTCTCCTCCACCCACCACAGATCCCACCTACAGTTCCTGGCTCTCGTCTGATTATTGTGTTATGACGTGGCTCCTCAACAGCACGGAACCACAGATTAGTAGCAGTGTTATGTTCTTAACCACTGCGAAGGAGATGTGGGACAGCCTGAAGATTATGTACGGAAATGAGAAGAATGCTTCTCGTGTATTTGAGATTTATGAGCGACTGTTTACGCTCAAACAGGGAGATAGGTCAGTTCCGGTGTTCTTTGGTGAGTTAAAGGGACTGATAGACGAACTGGAGATGCATCAGCCTGTAGTAGCTGATGCGGCGACGCTGTTAGGATATCGTCGTGACTTGGCAGTGTCTAAGTTTCTTTCTGGATTGCACCCTAACTTACAGTCCCAGGTGAGAGGACAGATATTGGGTGGAGATACCATCCCCTCACTGACTGCTACATTCTCCAGAGTCATGCAGGTCTCTACTGGTGTTTCTTCTGATACTTCTGCACCGTCTCCACCTTCAGTGGATCAGTCTGCCATGTTCTCTAGTAGAGGCAGAGGCCGCGGTCGTGATCGTGATCGTGATCGTGATTCTTTGGGAGGACGTGGCTCTTTTAGTGGGAGACAGGGTGATTCTGATAGGGGTTCACGTCAGTGTGATCACTGTGGGAGGACCAATCATATTTCTGAGAAGTGCTGGGAGAAGTTTGGTCGTCCTCAATGGGTCCAAGTAGCCGATGCCGAGTCGACTCGCTCGCCTATTTCTACTACTATTTCTAGTAATCCAGCTACTACTGTTCCTACTGTTCAGATTTCTCAGGCAGATTATGAGAGGTTACGCCAGCTAGTGCTCTCTCAGAACAGTCATTCGGGTGCTGGAGTAGTTCATGCTACTTCCTCTTTGAAACTCACTGATGTGTTATATGCTCCTAAATTCCCTGTTAGCTTATTATCCATTAGCAAGTTTACAAAGCACAATAACTGTAAAGTCACCTTCTTTCCTTCTTATTGTGTTTTTCAGGACCTAGCAACTGGGATGACGATTGGTTCGGGGCATGAGAGAGGAGGTATGTACTATTTGGACGACAGTGTGCCGAGTGCTGGTCTTGTTGCAGCACAGCCTGATTCTATCTTACTGTGGCACTGGCGTCTGGGTCATCCTTCACTACAGAAACTTAGATCGGTAGTTACTGTTCAGTCTTCCCTTTCTTCTTTAGGTTGTGAGTCATGTGAACTGGGTAAGCATCATCGTGCTTCTTTTCAGAGTCGTGTCGATAAACACAGTAGTTTTGCGTTTGAGTTAGTTCATTCTGATGTCTGGGGTCCTTGTCGTGTTCCCTCTGTGAAGGGTTTTCGATATTTCATTGTTTTTGTTGATGATTTCTCTCGCATGACTTGGCTATATTTGTTGAAAGAGAGGTCTGAAGTCTCGCATGTTATTGAACTTTTTTATAATGAAATAAAAACCTAGTTCTCTACTTCTGTTCATATTCTTCGTACTGATAATGCTTTGGAATATATGAAAAATGACGTTTCAAAATTTTGTGCTCTTAATGGTATTATTCATCAAACTTCATGCTCTCACACTTCATAACAAAATGGAGTTGCTGAGAGGAAGCATAGACATATTCTCGATGTTGCTAGAACACTGATGATACATATGAATATTCCAAAGTACTTATGGTCGAATGCTGTCCTCACTGCCTGTTATTTAATTAATCGCATGCCTTCCTCTGTTCTTGATGGTTTGATACCATTCCACTGTCTTTATCCTGCTAAAAAACGTTTTTCTGTGATTCCTCGAGTTTTTGGTTGTACGTGTTTTGTTCAGGATTTGACTATTGGTTTGGATAAATTGTATCCTAGGTCCATTAAGTGTGTGTTTGTTGGATACTCACGTACTCAAAAAGGGTATAGGTGTTATTATTCGACCACCAGGAGATATTTTGTTTCTGCTGATGTTACCTTTTTTGAGTCTGTCCCATATTTTTCCTCTGGTTCCACTACCTCTGTCAGTCCACAGGTGCCACTACCTTCTACGGCTCACACTACTATTTCGGTATCTGCTCCTGTGGCTACTACACCAAAGCCTCTACTGACATACTCTCGCCGTCCTAAAGTACATATACCTATCTCTGCTCCTGCTGACTCTTCTTCTCCAGCTGCAGGTCCATCTCATGTCGAGCCTCATATCTCTTCTGACTTAGATGTTCCTATTGCTCTTCGTAAAGGTAAACGGTCTTGCCCAAAATATCCTATCTCTCTTTTTGTCTCTTATGACCGTCTCACCTCATCATTTCGTCAGTTTGCTTTGTCATTGTCCACTATATCTTTACCCAGGTCACATGAGGAAGCTTTGTTAGTACCCGCCTGGAAACAGGCTATGGATGAGGAGATGAATGCACTGCTTTCTAGAGGGACTTGGGATTTGGTCTCTCTACCTGCTGGAGCGACTGTGGTTGGCTGCAGATGGGTGTATACCTTGAAATATCGTCCTGATGGGTCTGTTGATAGATATAAAGCTCGCCTGGTTGCTAAAGGATATACCCAGACATATGGTATTGATTATTTTGAAACATTTTCTCTCGTTGCTCGTCTCAACTCCATCAGAATTCTTTTCTCTCTGGCTGTTAATATGGATTGGGCGATGCACCAACTAGATGTGAAGAATGCTTTCCTTTATGGTGATTTGGACGAGGAGGTTTATATGGAGCAACCTCCTGGGTATGTTGCTCAGGGGGAGAATCTTATCTGCAGGCTGAGAAAGGTCATCTATGGGTTAAAGCAGAGTCCTCGAGCTTGGTTTGATAAGTTCAGCAAGGTTATTTCTAATGTTGGTTTTCAACGTTGTCAGTCTGATCACTCTGTCTTTCTTCGACGCACAACAACTGGTTTGGTTATTTTAGCCGTATATGTTGATGATATTCTGCTGACTGGGAGTGACTATGTTGCCTTAGCTGAGACTAAGGAGTATCTAAACCGTCATTTTGTCACTAAGGACATGGGAAAGCCAAAGTATTTTCTTAGGATTGAAGTTGCATATAAAAAACATGGCATGCTGTTGTCCCAAAGGAAATATGTGCTAGATTTACTAGAAGAAGCAGGTCTCTTGGAATGCAAACCTGCAAGCACTCCAATGGAGACATTTACTAGAAGAAGCAGGTCTCTTGGAATGCAAACCTGCAAGCACTCCAATGGAGACAAATGTTGATTTATGGCGTGATGATACCTCTCTACTAGATGATGCTGCACGATATAGGAGACTAATTGGGAAGCTAATATATTTGACAGTTACCAGATCTGATATTACTTTTATAGTAGGTGTACTGAGCAGGTTTATGCACAAACCTAGAGAGGTTCATTGGACAGCAGCTCTGAAGATTTTGGCATATGTCAAAAGTTGTCCTGGCAAGGGATTGTTATATAAGAAGCATGGGCATACTCACATTTCGGCTTTCTCTGATGCTGGCTACGCAGGAGACATGAGAGACCGAAAGTCAACCTCAGGATTTTGTACTTTTGTTGGAGGTAATCTTGTGACTTAGAGAAGTAAGAAACAAGATGTAGTATCACAATCTAGTGCAGAGGCCGAATATAGAGCAATGGCTCACACTGCTTGTGAGATGGTGTGGCTAAGAAAGTTTATGACAGAGCTTGGTTTTGTTCAGTCTGGACCCATGCCAATGCATTGTGACAACCAGTCTGCCATTTATATTGCACAGAATCCTGTGTTTCATGAGAGGACAAAACATATTGAAGTTGACTGTAATTTTGTCAGAGATGCTTGGGAGAAGAAGATAGTATCTCTCACATTCACTCCGTCCTCACAACAACTTGCTGATATTCTTACCAATGCTACTTCTTCAAATGTGTTTTCTATTATATGTGACAAGCTGAGCATGGTGGATATTTATGCTCCAGCTTGAGAGGGAGTGTTAGATTAAGTCTATTGGGTATTGGGTTAATGGGCTGTGACCCGTTAACCATACCCCTATTTGTATGACTATATATATATATATATAGTATCTGAATAAATCAATTAAGTTAGGGTTTTTGCTCTCTCAATTATCTCTTTCTACATAAACATTATCAATCAATGAAGTTCGAGAGAACATAAGTGCCAAAAAAAAGGAAGCTGCTGTAGTAAAGACAATTCCTAAAAGCACAGCATATATTTCCGATACATATAAAAGGAAGATCAGCAAACTAACAAAACACTTGCATGAACCCATAAAATTAGCAAGGTACACTAGAAGTATATGAACAATTTAACAGTTCAAGTTTTGATCATACAAAATGATAGCAAGGCAGGATAGGACTTAAAATGACAGGAATATGATTAGACATTAATTTTCATCAGCTTCAACTTATTGTGTGCAATTCCACCAGTAAAGATCGACAACATTCAGGCAGGATTCAGAAGAATCTACAGCACGTTTCACGGTCATCTGTTGCACAATGCAAATGGATTCATAAGAAAAAATGGGACCAGCTCCTTCATGTCAATATGGATGAAAGGCTTCCATGATGATGCCAATAACAGCATAAACCATTGAATTAGGTAATCTGTACAATGGATGATGCTTGTCCCCGTTGTTGATTAATTGAATGATGGAATTGCTTCCTCTTTTGCGTGCCTAAAACTAATACATCCTTGTCATGCCAAACTGAACAGTACCGCTATTTAGGTGGTGAGCACCAGAAGGAGCTGTAATCCTACCACTGAAAGGAGGCGGCTTCGTAGCCTGAAGCATGCTGACCTCATTGGCTATTCTCTGATCAAGTTTGCTTTTGATGATGGCCTCATCTCCACCAGCTGCTGAATAGTGACGAAACAAGGATGAACCTCTCATGTCCATAGCTATGCCAGGGCATGGTTTTTGATGATGTCCCATATAGTCCATCCCCTTATCTGCAGCCTCCAAGACACCTTCCCTGCTCTTTGAGGTGCTCTCTAAGTTGCCAGCTGTACTGCTCCTATGAAAGCAGTAAGTCGGAGGAACACCTGAAGGCTGTGAAAGCACTGTGTTACTCCGTATCAGTCTTCTAGGATCATAGGAATCCTTTACACCTAAACTCTCATAGGGCATTATCGGCCCAACAACTTTTCCGGGCTTAGCTACTGAAAACAGAATGATGGATAAAAAAAGTAAAATTAGAATTAGTGAGCAGAATATGGAACAAAAGGCTATAGTCCAAAATAATAAATTTTATATGCCTGTAAGGATTCTCTGAGGGGGAGCCTGAGAGGATCTTATGATATTGCCAGAAAGTTTTTCCGCAATAACTCTTGGGTTAGGTTGCTGATCCCTAGGAGCGATCGTCGTAGAGTGAACCACTGTAGATCTGCAGAAAGATAAAAGTACAAGTTATTTAATTTAAGAAGCCAAATGGTAAATGATTTCTATGATCAAAGTTTCTTTATGGGCCTTTTTGTTTACCCTCCCCCCACCCCACACAAAAAAAGACACAACAATAACAACAAAATGTTTGATATTTTGAAAATGACCATCCAAATCTTCATGTGTTATTTCAACCCCTTCTGATTGGCGATGAGTCCCCAACTCATACCCCTCAACTTGATAAAACTGCTACTTACTTCTTTCTTCAACCTTCATCTTCATTTCTCCTTCAAAAATCTAACAAAGATCCTACTCTATTCTTGCTATACCTCCAGAAAAAACCACTAGTTCTCTCTCCTTAATCCCTTTGTGTGGACCAGATCCAAGTTTGGGTCCAGTCTGAATCATGAGAGAGTCCCCTCTGTTCGGGGATATGTACTTTAAAAAATAACTAAAAATTAATTATCTAAGTTGAAAATAAATGAATACTTCATATTTATACTCTGACAATAACAGTGACATAATTTGGTGTCTGAGCAGAAACTGGAGGCTAAATTGGAAAAAAAAATATGAAGACTGAGTGATTTCTTTAAAATGAAAAAAGGTTGGAGGTGCAGAAATGAAAACTCTTTTTAAGCCGGTCCAAAGAATGGGGCTAATCGTTTTGCTGTATAAGAGAGCTAATCGTACGGTTGCATGATTGCAGGAGAAGAATATAACAGAAGAATTTTGGGATACATGCACCAACTCATAGTATTTGCTAATCCCATACATAATCAATAATATTCATCTTCATGTAAATAACAAAATTAGTTTAACAAAGGAAATCAAGCAGTGTAGGAAATTTTAGAAAGGATCAATCGCTATCTCTTGCTATACCTAGATAATGTGTTTATAACACACAACATGTTTTTAGTCTTGAAACCGCATCATCTCTCATCCTTGGAGCAACATTAGGGGTCTCAAAGCATGAAAGCAATAGGAAATATCTGGATCACACATGTTGTATGATCCATAATGCAGTTCACATTACCGAGTCTCATAGACTTGTGAGTCTCATTACCGAGTCTCATAGGTTTCTGAAAATCAACTATAATGCAAATTTAAGCATACTTTATGTACATCAAATGGTTGGAAGTTGACAGATTTTAAAACACTGCACATGTAGGCAGTGAGCTTCATTCCACATAATGTTTTATCCCAAAACACCTATAATCATGTTCCATAGTGTGCATCATTTGTCATGAAGCATCGACCCTAAGGTAAAAACAAGGTCGCTGACACTTTAAGTAAGAAAATCTCCACATTACAAGTGACGAGTGCACAAGTTGTGGCATTCAAGCAGCTTATCCAAGATTATTCTACTTTCAAGATTTTGGTGATATCTTCTCATCAAAGCTCCAGGATCTACCAGTGCATGTAGAGGATTTCAACATACTCGATGGGATGAGAATATTTACCTATGCATTATCAGCATTTCCTTAAGAAACTAATTGATCATGGAAATGCACGTAGGAGAGCCACATGACAATTTGGTTGTAATAAGACTATAATCATGCTAGAGGTTGAACTTTACTGGTGAAGTGTAAACAAAGATGTCACATTTGTGCTATCTGACTGTGTAGATGCCAATTGGCTTAGGGTAGGAAACAAGACACTAGAGTGTATAAATAATTACTTGCCCCAATGTTCTAAATGTCAAATGTCAGATAACAGAGTCATATCAGATTAAAAAAAGCCAGTAAGATAACAGTGTATAAATAATCATTCATGTCATTCACACAAGTGTCGGGAGCGCCTCAGTGAGCATGGGCTGCTTAAGTGGGACTCACCACCAATGTTTAAAAAAGCGGAAGCGCAAGCCGAAACGCTAGACCCTTTGATGAAGCGAGGCGTAACCTTTCAAAGCGTGAAGCATAAGCTTCAAAATGTGAAGCCTAAGCTTCATGAGTTTAAATATTTTAACTTTAAATTTGTAAAAATCATGAACATATGATATATAGTGGCATAATAATTAGATATATATACATTCATGTCCTGGTTAGTAAATAAGAATTATATATGTGAAGTATAGTAACAAATCATAATAACTTAGTTACATGCATAATATATATATTTTATTCACACTCGCATAGTCATATTGAAAATATATATGGGCGTTTTAATGTTAGTCAAAGATCTGTTTATGTCCTACTATCTAGTCTTAAGCATGTGCTTCAAAATAAAAGCGCTTTATAAAGCGCGAAGTGCACATTTCAATTATACTTTAAGCGATGAGGCATAAGCTTCAAGGATAAATAGCTTCACTCTTAAGTTCCAAAGAATTTACCCTTCAATAAGTTGTGAAGTGAGTTTCGAAACGTGTTTCAAAAAAACTTTCTCAAACATTGCTCACCATGTCAAAAGGAGTACGTAGCCCACTTAAGCATATAATGATGACGAGAACACTCAGGCAAAACTCGATCGGAATAAAACTCGATATCTAAACCCATCTTACATAGAATAGAGAGGATAAAATTTTGCATTGTTGAAAAAAAGCCTTTCTCTCAGTGTCACCCCTCCACCATTCACTTTGCAACTACAACGGTTAATCTCACCTCCAATTACGACAGAACAGTTGCCTTAAAAAACAATGTGCTATAAACGCCTAAATGTCGCCTAAGAGCCTGCTCAGGTGACTAGGCGTTGGCAGTAGATCCAGTGTCTAGACATGCCTAGTGCTTTCTAAAACATAGGATATTGTTGATGGCCCAAATATTCTAAATTTGTTCTTTATAGAGGTCTTGCTTTTTAGACTTTCTTTCTATGAGGTTTGTGCCAAATATGAACATTAAGTTCATGAGTTACTTCTAGACGGAACTAATTATTTTTCTTCAATTTTCATTGTCTATCATCCACGGACCAATGGTCAGATTAAGGTGGTAAATAGGGTTCTAGGAAACTTGCCATGTTATCTTGTAGGAGGCCACTTAAGAACTGGGATCTAGTGGTATCCATGGCTAACTTTTTGTGTGTAAATCGTGTGAATAAGTCAATTAGGTTCTATTGATTTGAACCAGTAGCAAGTTTTAGACTTGTAAACCCTATTGACTTAATACTTGCTAGGTATCTAATGCATCAACTGAGTTATTTGATAGCATTTGTATCATTTGCAGAATGAGATTCATAGATAGATTGTTGTTAATTATGAAACTATGAGTCTAAAGCATATGAATATAGGAGGATCCACGAATTTGTAATTAATGATAAGGTGATGGGGCACGTTCAACCTGAGAGGTTCCTTTGAGAGCTTGAAAATATGACATGCCCGTCAAACAGACGTTTGTAGTGTTTGAGAAAAATTGGTCCATTGAATGAGCTAGATGTCCGAGAATAATCTTTGAACTAATCTAATTTTTTATGTGGAGAACTTGATGCCCAACCATAAGCCATTTGTTTATCATTCGTCTATCTTGGATTTCTTACTGTCATATTGACTGAGTAGTAGAAGGTGCAATTATATAGTTTTCATGAGTATCAGTGTCTCACAAAAAGAAGATTGAGGAACTCTTGATGACGAGCTTGCATCAGTCGCAAATGGAGACTATACTTTGTACAGTGGGATGGACAACCAATTGAGATTGTACTTACTGAGTAGAGTTAAGGTTAAGTAACTTAAGCTAAATGTATTTGACAAGTATCGTCATCATTATTCCCTGAAAGTGAATTCTTTGAAGCTGGGAAGATTTGATAGGAATCACATGAAGTTTACTCCAGAGGAAGAATTTAAGCTGTTTTATTTTAAAATTTTTAAAAAAAAAATTATTTTTGTAAAATCTTCATTATAGCCTTACCTATAAAAGACAAGTTATCTATTACGATTATAGAATGTTTAGAATATTAGTTTAGTTATGATTAGCAAATTTTATTTCTACATAGACTTGGATCCTTAGACATGATATTTGCAGGCTTATATCCTCAGTTATTTGCCTACAGCTACTTAATTCTCTAAACACAAAAGCTTAATTAGAAAAATATGTAAAAAGATAGAAACTACCACCATAGGGTTGATAATACTCCTTGGTCCGTTCTGACACTTGAAAGCAAGCTCAAATAGAGAATAAATCAGCTCACTTTTCGCACTAGGCATGTAAAAAAGATCGAAATATGGCATCAAACAACATTACCTAGGAAGAGAAACATGCTTCCTTTCTAATGGAGTAACTTGGCCATTTTTACCACCATTTTCCTCGAGATGAGAGAATTGCTTCCTAAATTGATCAACAGCACTGTACAATTGAGGTAAAACAAGAAATATTAAGATAACAGCACATTAAGGCGAGAATGGAAAAAGTTGAAGAAGCAAAATAAAATATTTAACCTAGGATAAAGAAAGTTTGTCCCCTCATCTCCACTAATGTAGTCCTTGAGCAATTGAGGATGATATTCCAATATTTCACGGAATATAAGATCTCGAATGTCCTCTTTAGTCACTCTTCTTCTTTCAAACTCAAACTCCATTTTTGTTATGGGTTGACAAGACGGTTCTCTCTCCACTTTAGCCAAGCCCTTAAAATATGGATCAGCCAGTGCCTGATAAATGAACATGAAATGAAAAACATATTAGACACACATAAATAATGAAATAAGTATGAATCTAAAACCATTTTAATGGAAGAACATGAAGAATGAGGATTAAGCCCATACCTCTTCAGCAGTGGGTCGGTCCTTAGGATCAAATGCTAAAAGTCTTTCCAAAAGTTTCAGCGCTAGAGGATCTGTGTTCGGAAACTTTTGCGCAAATGGTACAGGCTGCTTTTTCCTCATGCTGCTCAAGTATCTTCTAGCCTTCTCATTGCGGACCTGATATTGTGGGAAACACCAAAAGTTTCAGATCTAGAATATATACATGTCTTTCACCAACCCAGATATTTATGAGATTGCGTACCCGAGATATGGTATCTAAAGAAGGTGTGCCAAGAAGATCTGTCATTAAATCCAATTGGTGAACCACATTTTTACCAGGAAAAAGTGGCTTTCCAGTTAATACCTCAGCAAATATGCAACCTATGCTCCATATATCAATAGCCGGGGTGTACTGTACATCATGGAACCATTATCACTTTAATTTTTTTGTCAATCAATACAAAATGGAAACAGGAATAAAGCATAAGATCTACTACAAATACCTGAAGATGTGTTATTTCAGCTTGCAGGAAGCTTAAAAAATTCCTTCCTAAGCAAGCATCTTTTTTAATTACTAAAATTATTATTTCATTAAACGTTTATTTGTTGTTTAAGAAAAGCAAGATACTTTAGTAAGTAATATAATGGAGTTTAGTAATGAGAACAATTTGAACATCATCTTGGTGACTCAAGTATCAAGGAGGGCTGAAAGAAGAACAGATATGGATATATTCTATATGAAAAGATCGATATAATAGTATCAGTTAAATGGGAAGTTCTAGATGTCTCTTGTCAGTGTGAAGGTTACAAAGGCCTGTATTTTTTGTTTAGAAGTGATAATCAAGCCTTTCTATCCGCAAAAGATCTAGTATGTGTCTGAGGGTTCAGCAAAGATCAACCAGAACACAATGTCTCAAGTGTCAAGGAAGGCTAAAAGAAGAACATATATTGATATAGTAGTGGAAGTTCTAAAAATGTCTATTATCACTGTGAAGGTTACAATGCCTGTATTTTTTGTCTAAAAGTGATCATCAAGCCTTTCTATCAGCAATATAGTGGTTGTTCAGTTTTTGACTTTTTGTTTAAAATAATAAATTCGGATGAATGATTTGCTTTCCACTTATTGTCCCCAGTTAAGAGGGAAAAATGCTTCTGCAGTTATTATATTCCTTCAGTTTTGTGAGAGCTCATCCATTCCTCTCAAAAGAAAAGGGTAGACACTTATGTAAAATACGAAAGATAACAGGAGCTTTTCAAATGTGTTTCCCTGCTATGTAACTTCCAGAAACTAGCATAGTTACATGATAAAATAATGCCTTCTGTTATTTTTATTAAGGTAAGGATTGGCAAAAGACAGCAATCATTGAATGAATAACATGTAGAAGGCTAGAAGCAACTGTATCAAAGAAAATAGTGCATTAACTGGAAATTTCTAAATGAAGTGTTGGCACTTGGCAGTGAATGTATAGATTCCATACAACTCTACAAATATGATAACATTGTAAATTCATGAGTTGACTGCAAATGAGCTAATAGCAAACGAAAATATATAGGTTGCTCAGAATTAAAGACTCTTGGAATTACTACACAACTATTCTGGTGTAACATACTAAGTGGCAGAGTTGACGTAGCTGTGCGTCTAAAATAATTCTCATGAATGATAGAATACTCGGACCTAAAGTTGGTACAGATATCTTGTAATAGTGGCTTAATATTTGATGATGCTTAAGGTGATTTGCCCAAAGTATCATGATTGAGGAGCAGAGCATTGTGCCATTATTAAACGCTATCCTACTAGTACAGGATATTGCTATGAAGTATAAGGCCAAAT